AGAAGTTTTCTTGCCATGAAACTTTGAAGGAGATGGCAACATTTCAAAGGACAGCCAGAAGGTCTTAAAGGCAATGATGTTTTAAAGAACATGAAATATGACTAAGAGGAGGGTGAGTTATTAAAAAAATCCAAAACCAAAACCAACTGAAATTTAAAAAGAAAATCAGAAAATGAGGTTTTTTCTAAAACTTTAATTATTTGACTCTGCTTTCCTGGAAATTTGTATAATTTCTACTGTGCACTCTAAATGGGAACAATGTTTCGTGAATTTTCTGTGGAACAGAAACTCAGTTTTGTCCACTTTCAGTGGTGTCTTTTAGGTGGAACTATTACAGGAGTGTCTCAGTGAAAAAACAACCAGCAGTTCAGTGCTGAACAAAACAACATTCAGTTGCCCAGGGCAAGTGTGGCTGCCCCATCCCTGGAAGTGGCCAAGGCCAGCTTGGGCAGGACTTGGAGCAACCTGGGATAGTGGAAGGTGGGGAAGAATGAGGTGGAGAAGGGGTTTAGGGTCCCTTCCAACCCACACCACTCCATGGTTTTATGGTTACCTTACACTTGTAGTGATTTTATCGAGCCATGGAAATGCTCATTTGGGGATGTAACCACGTTTGTGTGGTACAAACACTGTCAGGATCAGCAGGCCTTCTACAGCCACCAGAACATCCCTGTTGATCCAGACAGTGGCAGAGCTGCATTTTGCCATCATCTCTCTCCTGCAGAGCCAGGACTGATTTGTCCTTCCCTCTTTGAACCAGACTCGTGCAGTTGCCAACCACCTGCAGTGGAAATCTGGTGAGTCACCAGCACTTTGGGCCATCAGTGACTCTGAGCTGCAGAGCCCTCCTTCTGTGGGGAATCTGCTGCATGCAGAAAAGCAAAGCAGCCAGTGGGCAATGCGTGCAGGTCCTGGTGCCAGTGCTGCTCCATCCAAGCTGCCTGGCTCATCCCAAGGGATAACATCATCCCTCCTTCCATGGCCAACTGCTTCTGCCTCAGAGATGCAGCCAAGATCCCACATCCCCCAATGTCTTTATCTCCTTAATTTCTTTTTGCTGTATGTAGACTTTAAATATGACTCTAATCCTTGTATTACTTTTATTTGCATCCCCTAAAAACCCTGCATTTTAATGACAAGTGTTCTTGCAGGGTCAGAGTTCTCAGCAGTGCTGCATCACACCTGGATTTGCTTGTTCTGATGTTCTACCCCCTGAATTCCTATTTAACATTTGCTGCCTCTTGCGCCTCATGCGTGACTGACACCGGGAGTGACTAAGGGACCAGATCAATTATTGTGATTAAAATTGATCCTCATCGCTCTTGGTGTCACAGCTCACAAGCCAGCTCTCATGAGCTCACTTGGCTTGGGCCTGTAACCATTGCACATGGTGAGAATCTCATTGAGCAGAGGAAAATCATCCCTACGTCAAAATTGAAAGGATTTGATCATCACAGGAATAAGAATCAAACTGTGTTTGTGGCCTTTATACCTAATGGCAAAGTCATATTTAGGTTTGGATGCATTTCAAAAATGGCATTTTATAGTAAGAGTCACTGTTTGGGAGGTTTATGCAATATGGGAACTCAGGTACCATGAAAAGAAAATGTACCTTTGTTCCCTCTTGCAAAACAAGAAGAGTATTCCTGTGGGCTTGGCTGAAAGGCATCAAGGAAACACCAAATGTTTGTAACACACTGCACTGAAAAGCTCAATATATTTAACAAATCCTGGGTTGGTCAATTCCTGCATGTGAAAACACATAGGACAAGGAAAAAAAGATGAAAAAGAACATGATGGAGGCAGAGTAAAAGAAACAGAAAAGCTGAGCTGAAACACCACAGGCAGAGAAGGAAAATTTTATGTAATGAATGTTTTCCACCTCATCACCTCCTTCCTGCCCTAAACGCCATCACCACCTGTAAGTGCACTCATTAAACTGGCAAATCCATACACCTCCATCATGCCTGGAAACTCAATTCTGCTGAGTTTTCAGCACTTTTATTTAATAATTCTGATTTTTTTCATATTTTCAGTTTGCTTCTTCCCTAGCTCATCTTCTTGTGCAGCTCACTTTGTCAGTTTTATTTCTCCAAAGTGCTACGGAGGGAGCAACATATAATTCACAACTCAATAAAATTTAAGGAAAAATAAATATTTGCTGCATCCAAGATGAGGTGGAGGATGTGTAGGAGGGGAGGAGGCAGGAGGCAGACTTGAAATTGCTGCTTTTGGAAGAGATTTGAGAATTGAGTGTTGGTACCTTAGTGCAAAATGGCTGGGACTCTAAAATGGATTTATCAAAAACTGAAATGAAAAATGCAGGAGGGAACTGTTCAGGAATCATGTCTGTGCAAGGTGATTTCAGTCTAATGAGCAGTACTGCACACCCATGATTGTTTGAAGGTAAACCAATTTATTTACAATTTTATTGGCTGGAAAAGGGCACCAACAGCACCTTCACCTTTCAAAACCTGAGATATAGCAAACTACTCCTTTTAGAGGCAGAAGGGCTCTACCAAGAGATCAGGGATTAATCAACAGCTTTATTCCCTCCTAACAATTGGTGACTCAGATGTCAAAAAACAGGATTCCAATGTCAAAGTTGTTCTTTTTCTCCTGGGTGAGAGAGGCTGGAGGGTCTGGGCACTGAGCTCCTGTGAGCAAAGCCTCACTCTGCACCAAAGCACAGATCAGGAGGGACCCTCCTATGCTTCCAGCTGTTATTATAATGAAAATATTTCTAAATTACTGAATTACATAAGTTTTATTGCAATCTGTGCCAACATCTTGATATGTCTCTACACCTGACCCACAGTAGGTAACATATTTAATTCAGGTTGCTTGGTAATGTGTTTCTTCCAAATTTGGATTTTTTTTAATAATGAAAATTCAGTGATGATTATCAGGAAAAAACCCCAAACCAATAAAATGTATTTATTTTTAAACTTAGGTAGCTTTTTAAGGTATACCATCAGGATATTTCCTCAGCAGTCAAAAGGAAGGGGAGATTTCAGTTGGAATTTGTGAGCTAATGTCCTGAGCAGCTCTGAGGAAGCTGCAGCTCAGTGTGTTTCCTCCTGTGACACCTGTGTGACACTGATTGATGCTTCTCCAGGTTTAATTGAGGTAGAACATTGCATGCTCCTGTTTCTGAGCAGGTTTTGCTGCTTTGTTCTCTAACACTGTTGTGAGTAATTAGGCCAGGTTCAGTTCTCTTTGACAGCACTGAAATGAATCATTTTTTTCAGAGTAGATGATCACTCTAATACTTCCTATCTAATATCACTGCCACCTCCAAATCATGTCCTAATGAGAGAGTTCCAGGAATATTAGTGAAAAAAGAGGTGGATATTCAATGATCTAGAGTCTGATTCTGACCCTGGAAAACCTTATTCATTTAAAGAACTATTACTCATGAGAATTACAGTGCAAGCTTCCAGGAGGCTGAACACAGGATGGTTGTCCAAGCAGGAACAGACTCTTTTAAACAGAGAACTATTAAATATGTTAAATCTCTCCTACAGCCCTCCCAAGATGTGGTTTAAAACCATAGATAATAACACTTCTATGAACTGGTGATACTGAGAATTATCAGATGCAGAAAATCTCATCTTTTCCCATCTTCTGGATAAAATGTCCTTCCTGCAGACCTCTCCTATTACACACACGGAGTCTGTCACTGCTGTGGTGTCACCAGTTCAGTTTCAAAGCTTTCACAGCCAGGACTGATCTTTATCACCATAAATTCAGACTCCTGAGACACCAGCAAGAATAAGTAGTTACTGGCTTTGCTCAAGTGTCTTCTGCCACACTCTTTGCAGTTCATTTGCCACGAGCACTCCTGCATTATTACCGTATCCACAACTCATACAGGCATTTCACCTGGGAAGAACTGCCAGCTCAGATGCATCACTCCTCTGGCAGGTTTTGTCTGAGATACCTCAGCAGAAAATATTGTTAAATATAGACCCTGGTGACTGAGAAGCTGGACATGGCCCAGCCCAGAGCCCCCAAGTCCTGGGCTCATTCCAGTGTGGGCAGCAGCACAGGGGGATCCTGCCCTGCAGAGCTGCCTCCAGCCCTGGGGTCCAGAAGGATGTGGAGCTGCTGGAGCGAGTCCAGAGGAGGCCACAAATGATTACAGGGGATGGAGCCGCTCTGCTCTGGAGAAAAGCTGGGAGAGATGGGGGTGTCCACTGTGGAGAAGCTTTGGGGTGACTTAATTGTGGCCTTCCAGTACCTGGAGGAGCTGATGAAAGATGAAGAAACACTATTTATTTACAAGGGCCTGGAGAGAAGGGACAATTTGGGGATGAATTCAAACTGACGGAGAGGAGAGCTGTCCAAAGGAGGAGACATGAAGATGCTGAAGTGCCTTGAGGAGCAGCTGAGGGCACTTGGTCTGCTCAGCTGGAGACTGAGGGGACACTCAGCGAAGTTACAACTCCAGCGTGAGGGAAAGCAGAGGGGCAGGTGCTGCTCTCTGTGGTGACAGGGACAGGGCCCAGGGAACGGCCGAGCTGTGCCAGGGTCAGGCTGGAGCTCAGGGAAAGGTTCTGCGCCCAGAGGGTGTCGGGCACTGCCCAAGGCACAGACCCAAGGCTGCCAGAGCTCCAGGAGCGTTTGGACAGCGCTGCCAGGGATGCACAGCGTGGGATTGCTGCGGTGTCTGTGCAGGGCCAGGAGCAGGACTGGTAATCTTTGTGGATCCCTTCTAACTCAGGATATTCTGTGATTTAGACTGAATATTAGGAGGAAACTCTTCCCTGTGAGGGTGGTGAGGCCGGGAAATAGATTTCGCAGATAAGCTCTGGCTCCCCCATCCCTGAAGCATCCAAAGCTAGGCTGGCTGGGATTTAGAGCACCCCAATCTATGGCTGTGCTCCTCCCCACAGCAGGGGAGGGCCGGGATGAGCTTCCCGGTCCCTCCCAGCCCGAAGCCGCAGGCGCGGCCCCGCCTCGGCTCGTCACGGGGCCGGAACCCGGAGCCGCCGGAGCCGCCGCCGCCCCGGGCCCAGCGCTGCCCCAGCCCGGTCCGGAGCCGCGCCGCTCCCCCCGGGGCCACCAGCATGTCCAACATGGAGAGTATCCTCGGGCGGGACCGCGGGGGGACGGGCCGGGAGCTGCCGGGCTGGGCCGGGCCGGGCTGGGGGAGGTGGCGAGCGAGGCCTCCCCGCCGGGAGGAGCCCCCGGGGCGCGGGGAACGAGGGGACGAATCCCCCTCATGGCGGTGGTCGCGGGGACCGAGGAGCAGCAGCGGGAGGGCTGGATGTGACACTGGCAGCGGCTGAGATCGCTCAACTTCGGAATTCTCTTCTAAAGTGGAGAAAAGCGAGATGCGATCTCATGTTCCATACCAGTACCAGGGGGTGTCAGAGGGTGGTGCCAGGCTCTGCTCAGTGGTGCCCAGCACCACGATGAGAAGCAGTGATCATAAACTAAAAAACAAGTGTTCAACCTCAACACGAGGAAGAACTTCTTTCCGTGGAGGGGGCAGAGCCCTGGAACAGCTGCCATGGGGGTGTGGAGTCTCTGGGGAAATCCCAAAGCCACCTGGACACGTTCCTGGGTCACCTGCTCCAGGTGTTTTCTGGGGCTTGAACTGGGTGATCTCCAGAGGTCCCTTGTAACCTCAGTTACTCCGTGATTCTGTGGTTTCACCGCCCTGAAGGGACAAGGAAGTGGGTGAGAGGTTCGGTGTCTCTTCCCAAGCTGTGATGAGGCAGCCTGGGCTGGGAGTGAGGAGGAGGAGGCAGGGATGTGGTGGATGGAGGGACAGCCCAGTTCCTGAGGCAGAAAACACAATTTGTACTAAAAATAGTATGGATGGCACAGCAGGGACAGCATACATGTGTGTAAACTAGAGTGATGTCAGCTGGGCTGTTCCCCAGACAGCCGCTACGTCAGCTGTGCTTCCTGCTCTTGGAAAGAATTTACAGCAGAGTCCTGTGTGAGCCGACTGGAACTTTATTGCTGTGTAAAACCATCTTAACACAGGGTCAGAAAACTTACAGAGTGCAGAGGTCTCAGTGTGGATTGCCGTGGTCTCAGTGTGGTTGGAATGTGCAGGCATTGCTGGCATTGCTGGTTGTCCTGGTAGGGATTGCTGGGGCAGCTGACTGTGAGTCACAGACCGAGGTGGAAGTTGGGTCCCACTTGGTTTGTGGCATGTTGAGAAAGACACTTGAAGGGAGGAGCAGGAATGTGCTCCTCAGGAATGGGTGAGCTGGTTTAATGTCAGGTAAATTCCCTGGCTGAGTAACTGAGGAAGTTATTTCAAAATAAACTGCTCTGGTTTTGGTAGCTACATTAATGGATATCCTATCCCAAGTCAAGATTGTTACCTTGTTTGTAGCCTGCCTGTGATGTTTATAGGATAACAAAAGACATTCCCAGTGTCTCCAGGTTGCTGTCAGAGTAAGGGGAATGGCTGTTCTTTAAAGCAGAAAACAGCTCTGGAATAATTTATGTACTTGAGATATTGAAGAAACCTCAAGTACTCATAATGCTTAACTTTGTGTTTCCACTTAATTGGTAATCATCTTAGAGCCTGCTGGGATCTTCCTCTTAGGATACCACAGGTGGCAGGAAAGAAACCTACAAAGCTTTTTACTTACATATTGTTTGAGAAGGACTGATATTGTTTCATTGACAGTATTTTAAGAAAGTGTTTTTGGTTTTTATTTGTACAGCACACACTCTGTTCTCTGTCAGTAATAGTTTAATGCAGTCATTCCAAATCTCTCTGAAGGCTTGTCTTGCTGTTTTCTTGCAGCTTTCAGTTTAACCAGTTGAACTTTTGTTTTTAAAGTTTCTCATCCTGACTGGAGTGCTCTCTGCCCAAAAGTCAGATGATGGAGCTGTCGGGGAGTCTGGGATCACTCACATGACCCAGGGCTGGGAAGGAGCTGGAAGAACAATTTAAATCCAGGATCCTGCTGGGTTGTAGCTGGCCGTGGCCAGCTGAGCCAGTTTGCTGTTACACAGTTAATTTGTTGTGTCTTTCAGTGGTTTTGGTGTTTTTTTGGATGGGGAGGTTCCAGGCAGGTCAGGAAATCATCATTCATCATTTCACTGGGAATGGCAGGCTTCTGGTGTGGGAGTGAAAGTAACCAGCAGAGAACCACTCTCAGCTTCTCTTGGGGGGTGTTTGGTGGTTGGATTTATCACTCTGAAATAGGTTTAGTCCCTTAACTTGCACTGCAGAACACCTGTTTAATTTGAAGTTTGCTGCAAAGGAGCTCAACAGAAACTCCAAAAAATGCGACAAAGAAGAAAAGGCTGAGAAAGCTAAAATTAAGAAGGTAAGTCTGAACCAAGTTTTTAAATCTGTTGCTTGCATGTTAGGGCAGGAAGACCTCTGCTGTTGTTGTCATTTCCCTGGTGTGCATGCTAGGAATCAAGTGGTCAATGTTTGTGATTTAAAATATGTGACTATAAATATTGCTGTGTTTATTAATAAACATGAGGATAAATCCTCATGGATGGCTCAGGGCATTTGCTTCCCTAGAGGATTGTCTTGTGTGTGCTTTGATAGAGACTGTTGTTCTCAGAGTTAAAACCACTTCATGTTTATCAGCTTGTATTACATGGGCTTGTGGAGAGGAACTTCAAAACAGCTTTTGAGTCCTTGAAGTGGTGAAGAGAGAGACTGAGTTGATTTGATGTATTTTTTCCCATGAGATGCTGTGCCACCTGTGCCTGTGTTTGTGTCTTGAGACTGAAACCGTTTTCAGGAACAGAAATTGTGTTTCTGTAGCTCTGCAAAGCTGCCTATTTGAAGTGCATTCTTTCCAATGCCTTCCTTGGAAAGAAGTTGGGAGTTCTCATCTTGGAAATGTTTGTGATCTGTTGTGGGAGAAGGGAGGGATTTGTTTATTTCTTAATAGAAAAAGATACAGTGACTAATTAATGCTTCTTTCAAATCCAAAACAGACTACACAGACATCCTATGTGCAGGAGCAGGGAAGGGTAAAAGGCTTTTCCTTTTGTCTCCCTCTTTGCCAAGGCCATCCAGAAGGGGAACATGGAGGTGGCGCGGATCCACGCCGAGAACGCCATCCGCCAGAAGAACCAGGCCATCAACTTCCTGCGCATGAGCGCCCGCGTGGACGCCGTGGCTGCCAGGGTCCAGACTGCCGTCACCATGGGCAAGGTGAGGCCTCCCCCTCCTGCAGGGGCAAGGAGGAGATGTCTCATCTTCTCTGCAGTGGCTTCATCCTGGCTGCAATGAGCTGGGAGCTTTCACTTTCGGTTTTAGAGGCAGCCCAGAGTAAATCGGCTGCTGGAATTCCTCTGGCAGCTGCTCTTTGGGTTATTTCACAAAGGAGCATCTCCTCCTCAAAGTAAAGTCATGAGGTAGGAGTTGTTATTCCAATAGACATTTGTTTAAGGTAAACTGATTTACTGCTCTTCAACTTGAAAGTTTACTGTAACCTGTGGACCAGATGTATCCCTTAACAGTGACAGATCTCAAGTCTACAGAAATGAATGCCATATAAAGCTCATTTTTAGTGAATTTTGCCTCAGAATGTGTATTTCAAATGGCTGAGTTAATTTCTAGAGCTGGGAATGGTATGAGCTATTTAAAATACATCATTCCAGATGGCAATAGGATGTTCCCTCCTATTTGGTACTCTCAAAGCTCTGTGAACAGAGATAAGAGAGATGGGTAGGAAATATCAGAATCCCAGAATAATTTGGGTTGGAAGGGACCTTAAAGTCCATCCAGTGCCACCTCCTGCCGTAGCAGGGACACCTTCCCCTGTCCCAGGCTGCTCCACGCCCTGTCCAGTCTGACCTTGGACGCTTCCAGGTATCCAGGGGCAGCCACAGCTTCTCTGGGAAATCCCTTCCAGGACCTCCCCACTCTCACAGGGAAGAATTTGTTCCTAAACTGCTCTTTTTTCCTTGTAATAGTTTTCTTCTCCTTGTTTCAGGTTACAAAGTCAATGGCAGGGGTGGTGAAGTCCATGGATGCCACCTTGAAGAGCATGAACTTGGAAAAGGTAAATCAACTTAATTTTCTTGGAGCTGACATCAAAAGCAGATGGGACAAGTTTTTAAAAGGGAAATTCAATCAAGAGTTTTCCAGTTGAGATGTATTTTTTCTTTTAGCTGAAGATAAGTGATTTGATTCAAATTTTTCATAGATATCTGCACTAATGGACAAATTTGAGCATCAGTTTGAGACACTGGATGTTCAGACACAACAGATGGAAGACACAATGAGCAACACTACAACATTAACAACGCCACAAGTAAGAATGATAAAATATATTTTAGCAAGGTGATCTTAAATTATGTGTCTAAAGTGTTCATTAACAGCGCTTGAAACACTCAAGTATATGTTTGGGTTTTTTTTACAGATCAGTTGAATTCTGTAGAAGTATTATTTACAAGCCAGAATTCAATTAATGTAATTTTAACTGCTGAGCACCTCTGCTGCTTATGTTTGAGTTCATACCTTCGAGGGGTTAAGCACAAAACTATTCTGCCAAAGGCATTTACCTTTAAATCAGTTTTATTAAAATAATTCATGTTCTCTAAAAATCTAACAAGAGGTTGTCAGAAACTCCAAATGCATCAATCCATTTTGTTTTCCTTTAGAACCAAGTGGACATGCTCCTGCAGGAAATGGCAGATGAAGCAGGGTAGGTGAAATTTCTATTTCTTTAGAACAAATCGTGGTTCCCACAGCCCTTGCAGATTATATCTAAGGTCAAATACCCTTGTTTTATAAGCTGTCTCTTGGAAGCAGAGAAAAAACACAATTTTCCTTTTACCTCTGGACATACCTGACTTGTCCTGGTAGTGAGTCAAAATTACTCACCAGCATGTGTAACTCTGGAGTGTTCAGGGGGTGCTGTCTCATTGTTCCTCTGCTGTTAATTATTGTGCTTCCCCCTTGATCCACCCGTGCCTGACTTGATGTTTGCTCTGTTTTCTCCTCTTAGCCTTGATCTGAACATGGAACTACCTCAAGGACAGACAGGTTCAGTTTCTACAAGTGTGGCCTCAGCAGAACAGGTAGATGTTGCATTTCAGCGAGTCAGTGTTTTCTGGAGAAATGGGATGTGAGAATCAATGCTTCACTCAGTAAAAACAAAATGCTAAATTGCTAAATTCTATTTCAGCTCTTCCAAGGAAACTGTGTGGTTAAAAGTCTTGCTGTCAAAGTAATTTTAACAATACATTTGTTGAATGTTAAAGGGAAGGGGCCTTAAAACTAATCCATCGTCACCCCTGCCATGGGCAGGGACACGTTCCACTATTCCCTGTTGCTCCAAACCCCATCCAGCCTGGCCTTGGACACTCCCAGGGATGGGGCAGTCACAACTTCCCTGGGCACCCTGTGCCAGGCCCTCCCCACCCTCCCAGGGAAGGATTTCAGCCCCCTTGTCCTATCAAATGTTCCCCATTCTTTGAAAGAATTCTTTCTCTGCTTAATTTTGTGTTCTGAAACTCCTCCCTCACAACCAGGCTTGAGGTCTTAAGCAAATCTTGTTAAGCCATGAGAGAATTTCTCATCAGCTGGACGCGAGGTGGCAAAAGCTGCTTTTCCTATTGCTGATGGTTGGTTTTCCCTTTTTGTTTCCCAACTGTGCAGGATGAGCTGTCACAGAGACTGGCCCGCCTCCGTGATCAAGTGTAACTGAGCAGCGCTGCAGTTCTCTGGACCTGCTTCCAAATTCCCTGTCTGGAACTAACCCTGCACTACACTTGAGGTGTAAAACAGTTCAGCTTAGGTGTTTGAATACTTGTAATATAGGGTACTTCACTCCCAGCTTGCTACTCTTTCTAAAATACATTAAGTGACCCAAAAATACCAGCTCTGATGTCCTTTTCTGTACATTTGGAAGTTGATCTATTTTTTGCAAGCTTTTTTCACAAATTCAAGTTGATGTTCTAAGTCAGCTACTAATGGTGGTATATTCTAGTTCCAAGCAAAGCAGAGTGTCAGTGAGATATATTTTAAATTATGAAGTGATTTTTTTAAATTATGAGAACTGTTTCTGGTTGGAGAACTGATGTATCAGCTCAGATGATTGTTGCAGATCATTTTCCTACAGAGCCAAACTCCTGGAACACTCAAGGATGGACAGCGTGGACCTGCTGGAAAATGCACTTGTTGAAACAAATAAGTGAACTTTGAGTTTTTTAGTCTTTAAAATTTAGGATAAATGTGCTGAAATTAACAGTTTAGTTCAAAAATGAGTTACCAAAAGCTGATTTCATATAACTGGGGACTTGTATGGTGGCATCACTTCAGCACAGTAGGAATAAAATATATTTTTGGACTCTTTGCCAGGTCTGTTGCTCTCTGCAGGTAACATCCCATTGTTTTTAATATTCTGGTTGTATGGAGGAGCTAATTTTAGCAATCCCTTTATATTTCTGCATAGTAAGAGAGTCTGGCTGCTCTCAGTAGCTTCAAACTCTTGTTGCAGTTGTAAAATAAGAAATGGTTGTAGAAATTTGTACCTGAGACCACTTGTGATGTGTTGTGATAAACAGTGACGTTCAGATTCTCTTCCTGATTTTTTTGGTCTCATTTTTATTTTTTGTCTTTGTAGGGGTGAGGGAAGGTGTGGAGCACCAGGCTTGGAATTGGTTCTGAATTGTGTGGTGTTCAGGGCCACTTGGGTTTTCCAGTGTTAGGGAATTGTTTAAGAAAAAAGAAAAAACTCACTTTTTTATTCAAGGAGGATTTTTTCAGTGAAAATGTGCAAAAATGATCAAAGATTTCAGAGCAGTTTCAGATGTTCTTTTGAATGTGTTACCCAGCTCACTCTGAGGGTTGAGCAGGATGTTATGTACTGAAGTAATCAAGGTTACTGTAAAAATAAAGTGAGGAAAATCAGATAGACAAAACAACCTGAAATGTGGGATTCTCTCACGCTGGCAGCTGAACTAAAACCGTGAGTTTAAAATGGGATCTTTTCACTTGTTAGAAACAAGGTGACATTTAAAATAAATGTAAACACCTTGAGTGTTCCTCCTGTAAACAGGAGAAGTTGGAAAGTGTTTAAAAACCACATATTGACAGCTGTAGCCTGGCTATGATTCCTTCAAATGATTAATAAATCATCCTGGAAAGGGACTTTTCCCTTCATTTTCTTCCCTGGCTGCTTCTGAACATTGTAACCATGGTCATGGTGTATCTATGCAACCCAGTTACCCAGCTGGGGTGACTGTGTGTGTGCCTTTGCCTTGCTGGACTTCCTTCAGCTTTTTAATATTCTGTTACTTCATATCATGAGAGTGCTGGAAGCTTCCTGCTGTGGAATCACTCCACACCAGAGTTTACTCAGAGCTGGCCATGAACTGCTGAGGGTTCAGTGTCTGAAAGCAGACAGCTCCAGCTACTGTGTCTGGCTTCTCTAATGTTAAAAATGATGCTGTTGTTAGGCTGGCTTGGGCCATTCTGGAATTAGTTGAGGGTCAGACAGCAATTCTGAGCTCCCACATGGTTGATTTTCCCAGTCTGTTGCCTTGCTGTGAGCCTTGGAGGGATTTAAAAATAGACTGGGAGTGAGACTGCTGCAACAGGAAGGTTAAATAAGCTTCATTATTTTATTGATTTTTGTGGAGTTTTGATCTTATCCCAGGCTGGTGAACTGCAGAACCAGCACAGATTTCCAGTGTTGTCCCTTGAAAGGAATTAACAAATACAAACATTTGACTGACATAATTAAGTTTATGTCTGGGGGACTGTGGTGCTAAAGGCTTAGGCAGAAATAGGTGTTTGAGACAGGGAATTTTTGCCCTGTGTTCTCCACTCCAGGAGCTGCTGTGTATTTCAGCCATGCCTGGGTCTGGGGCTGGCAGCTCCTGTGTACAGAACTCCTGCCCTCTCCTGGGGAAATGCTTTCACTCGTGGCTGGGAGCTGCATCCAGAAAGGTTGAAGTTATATTTTAAATGCATACATTTTTTCATAGCATTTGGAAATGCTTAAAGCTGGAAGTTACTCTTAAAGCAATATTTGAGTTTCATTCTTCCTCCCTTCAGGCTCCCCAAAACATTTCTCTTCCCTGAGCAGCTCTGGCTCCTCACTCCAACCTTGTTTTGTCTCTGGAAGTTGACTGTTTGTAAAGTTCATTTCATGTTAAATCACTTGTTTGTGCTTTTCTGGAACCAGCTAAAATTTCAATATTTCTGCTGATGAGCAGGCGCATCTAAAGTGAAACATTGCTTGAAATGTTGCTGGATGGTTTTGCTCAGCATTTTTATCCTCTGTTTCTAAAACTGCTGGTTTGTGGTAGCTTTGTCTTCATTAGAATTCCAAAACAAAGCCATGCAAAGCTTCAGATGAAAGGAGAGGGAAGAAAAACAAAAACAACAACTTTAATGTTATGATTGCAACGGGATAAAACTTATCAAGTTGCCTTTGTGGAGATCCTTGGAGCCAAAAAATAGTGAATTTTTGTTAAACATAATCAGCAGTTGTGTATAGACATAAATTCTGAAGCTGGTGCCATGTATAGAGAAGAGGATAATTTTTGTAGTTCTGGTTGAGTTCACTTTGAAAACTGCTTTACTTGTATGGGACAGTTTGTAAATGTAACTGCAGGTGGAAAATAAAATTGTACAGACAACTCATTCTGGGTGTGTGTGCAGGTTGTGTGGCTGCTAAGGTCTCTCTACGTGGATGGACAGGCACATGGGGTGTCTTTCCTGTGGGAAGCCATCCCAAAAATTTAATCTTTATGGGGGGAAAACAAGAAGAAAATAAAGTGGGTACGACTGAGAGAGATTTGGGACAACTGGGGAGTAATTAATATTAAGTATAACAACATAAACTCTATTTTATGAGGTGTTTAAAAATGTTTAGTCTGATATGGAGAGAGCCCCGTGCTTAAACATCTCTGAGGGTTTTCTGTTCTTACACACAGAACAAGGGACCACTGGAAAAACTGGCAAGGAGGTGGTGTGGGTTTGAGTGTGGGATTGGGTTTGGCTTTCCCACACCTAAAAATCTTCAATTTTAACATTTCTGTTCAGTCGTTCAAGAGCCAGCAGAGGGCACCTGAGGCTTTGCTTTTGTGGATCCTGCAGAAATGGCTGGCTGGAGCAGCTAAAGGAAAGCTGCTTGCTTCAGGGAGCAGAGTCTCCCGTGGAACCTTTGTTTGGGCAGTATCCACCCGCTGTAGGATGTGCCTGTGCCGGGGCTTTGATCCCAAAATCCAGCTCGGCACCACATCCACAGGGCCATCAGCTGAATGGGGTCAGTCTGCACTAAATACACTTAAACCACTTAAACATCCTTTGCTGCCTTAGGTCTCTGAGATCTGTTAGGAGGGAGGGAGGAAGATAGTGAGTAACCTTGTGCTTAAAACTTGGGTTTAAATTTCATTTTCAGTTAAATCTTGGGGGTTTTTAGCTGTTGTCATTCTGCTTTTGACCTGTGATCATTTTTCTGTTTTATACATAAGGAAACACTCACTGTGCACTGATGGAAATGGATTTTAATGGTAAATTTTATTTTTTTCTCAGAACTTTGATGAGCTTTGCTTTGATGACGGATTGACTTTAATTTCAGGATTTTCTCTGCAGTTCTGCCTTCACCTCTTGCTCAGGCTGCTTTGAGCTCACAACTTTCCTGTTTCAAACAGTATTTTTGCAGTGGAACCCTGAGCAGGGTCAGTGGCCTTGCTTGTTTCGGAAGCAGCTCCCTTCATTACCATTCCTTGAGGGGAAGGCCCCACGTGAACAATCTGTAACTAATTTCACGTGCCAGTGGAGCTGCTTTCACTGGGAGAAGATGCACTGAGAGAGTCTCCCTCTCTCCTGCTTCCCTTTGCTGCTCTTTATTAGGGAACTCAGCCTGGATCAGCTGCGTGACATGGTTCAAAAGGGAAAATCAAAGGGGCTGCAGGATCCACATTTTGGGAAAGCTTTCCAAGGTCTTCCAATGGTGCCAGTCACCATAAGGAACTGCCAGATCCAGACTCAGCACAGAGGCTGCTCACAGCACTTACCTAAATAAGGGGGATTTCAGAAAATAAAATATTTCATATTGCATATTTCTAATCTAAACACGCATATTTAATAACCGAAACAATCTAGAGAATTATATACATATGCTAATTATATAAAATAATAAAACAAAATATAAATGAATAAAAATCTCAAAATAAATAAAATTGAAATGTCTGAAAACAAAGGTGTTTTACAGTCATGCCTGTGTGTATTGTTTAGGATATTCTAGATTTATTAAACCTGAATGAAACAATCATTTTGCAAAAGCAACGAACATGACATAATGTGTGTATCTGACAAGATAATAATCAGCCTAATTTAATTTCCCTGCTATCTGATTCATAATTCTTTATCACAATCAATTTCTGTCAAAATGAGCTGTCAGAGACAGGAAAGCATTTGAAAACTTCCTTTAAAGACTCTCAGTATTTTTTATTAAACCTTTTATGACTCATTTATTTTTTCAAAGATTAGATAAGCATAACCCTGGATTCTCTACAGGAGATATTTCCCTTTATTCTTATCGCAATCAGGGCTTTATTTCTCATGGTGCAAAACGGGTCATTACTGGAACCATCAAGCTGGATTTCTGTTGCTGGTGGGTTTTCAGTTCCATCTGAAGTCCCAATATTTGCCTGGAAATCCATCGGAGAAGCTGGCGGGCCTGTTCAGAGTGTTGTAAATTAGTTCCAGTCTCCACGAGCCTGCTGTGACTAATTGATGTGACCTGGAAGTGGATAAAGTCCATAACAGTAAGATCAACTTTTCCTCTGGTAATTTGACAAATAGAGCCCTTTTTAAAAGTACTGTGCAGGCTCCATTCCCCATTTGTTCTGTCGTGATGGGCATCGTTTCCGTGTTGGAGTGATAATGATTTTCCAGATTTCTGCTGATTTGTAGAGCAGGTGCCTTTATTTAATAATGCCAGAAGAAGGGAGAGATTCAACAGCACCATCAAAAAGAGAATTCCTGGCAGCAGCTGTATATCAAAGCCATTCCTTATCCAGTTACCTCTATGTAAGTATTTGACCACTGCTTGAAATCTTCATATTTCCATGTAAAATGTAAAATTACAACATTTTTTGCAGAGTAGTTTAGTGTGTAGAGAGTAGAAGTAATAATTTATTAGTGGTAATTTTATTACATTTAACAATAGCACTGTTTTTTCATCCAAATATTTTAGAAATACAGAGATTAATACTCACCAAACCCCAAGTTGTCTGGTGTGTAGTGAGTTTAAAGCAGCAAATATGGAATATCCCAGGTTCTCTTCCAAATTTAATGCTTTTGCTGAAGTTTTTTTAGCCTGTGGCTGGAGTAATAAATAAACCAGATATTCCCAAGCTCTTCATTAATGTTTATGGGGATGTTTGGGAAATCTGGCTGTTTTCTCAGGGTACTCTTTACCACATAGGTTTTCCTCCTCCTGCACTACAGAGATGTGCAGGAAGGCCGCTGGTTTGCAGAGTCGTTCCAGCTCATTTATTTCCTACAGCCACAGGGAAATCAGGAAATCTCAGTGTTGTGTGGGCTTCTGCCCTTG